ACTTCCATTTCTGATATGTTCTCACATATCTCCTTTTGAAGAATATTTGTGTTTTAATAAAATCTGGACTAGTCTGCACCTGTCCCATGCTTGGAATTTTGAGAACCAGGAGCAAATGGTCAGGGAGACATTCTGTAACCAGTCTTGTTTAGCACGTCCTGGCAGTTGTACTCGTCCCTTCCCAAATGATTTGGAAGGGTGGCTAGCCCGTTGGTGTGAGAGGAAACCTACTGTGACCCCAGGCATCAGGATTAACCTTACTTAATAATAACTGGTTTTATATTAACTTTATAATTTACTAATGTCACTTCTCTTAGCAACTTTGTGCAGTGGGTAAATATTGCCACTATTTTCCATGTGAAAATTATCCAAAACTTGTTGCCGTCAAGGTTTTTGTTTTGGGGGGGGGGGGGGGGAGATAGACACTCTAAGATTTTTAACAGTCTTTTTTAATTTATACCATCTCATTCTCTTTCCATTGCTAATCAGATTTTTCTTAATCCATTAATAACGTATCATTTTTTAAAAATCCGACACGTAGTTGTTTTTGTTAGGTGCCGTTGAGTCAGTTTCGGCTCATAGTGACACTGTGTGACAGAGTAGAACTGCCCTATAAGGTTTTCTAGGCTATAATCTTTATGGGAGCAGATCTCAAGGTGTTTCTCCCGAGGAGCCTCTGGATGAGTTCGAACCACCAACCTTTGGGTTAGCAACTGAGCGTTTAACCATTGCACCACCAGGACTCCTTGAACTCATGATTACATGGATAAATATATTTTTGAAAACGTGAATTCTAAGGAGACTGTTGCTTTAAAGATAGAAAAAAGTGTACTACTGTAAAGAACAAAAATAGCTGATACTTTGATACTCTTAGATTTTGGAGATGGTTTTATTAAGTACAAGGGAAGGTGATAAAGTGGGTACTGGTTTAGCATAGTGGAGTTAAGGTAGTATAACCAGTTACCACTAGCAAAGTAAATTTAAGGTGAGTACACTTTAATTCTTCACTATCATTCCCAACGTTGCAAATTATACAACGTTTTTTGATTGCCTGCTGTGTGCCATGCCCTAAAGGCTAGACGCTCTTAATATATTATCAAGAGGCAGTGTAATGCACTTCAGAGCAGATCCCTGCCACTAACTTGTGATGATGATCCAGTTATTTAATCTTGTTCAGCCTTTGTTTCCTCATTTGTAAAATTGAGGATAAGAACATTCTTACTATTATTACATACATACACAGTAAAAATGAAATGAGATAGTATGTATTAAAGAACTAGATGCATAGAAGCTGCTTGTTTTGATTGCTGTTATCTGACCAAGGAGCCCTGGTGGTGCTGTGGGTGAAGCAAAGTGCTTGGCTGCTAACCACAAGGTCAGCTGTTTGAACTTACCAGCCACTATGGGGAGAAAGTTGTGGCAGTCTGCTTCCATAAAGATTTACAGCCTTGGAAACGCTATGGGGCAGTTCTACCCTGTCCTACAGGGTCGCTATGAGTCAGAATTGACTTGACGGCAGTGAGTTTGGGTTTGGTTTTTGGGTTGTTATCTGACCACTAGAGAAGAGTAGTACACGTACCACACATATACCTGTTGTCGTTCATAAATATAACTGGCACTTGGGAAACTAGTGTTTTAGTATGGCTTCAAAAAAGTCTTTTGTTTTGAAAAATTAGCCCTTTTTGCTAAGTTTAAATAAAACGAGAGATTTCCATAGGAAGTTCATGAATGTCATAAAAACAAGTATATTAGGGTTTTTTATGATCTTATAATCTTAGGAAAAAAATCCACCTGAGTTTCTGGTCATGCTTTCTAATGAAGCAAAATTGATTTCTGTGTCAAGTCACTGGTTGATGGCTGGCTTCTGTCCAATTCACATCAACATAACTGATCAAAGACGAATGACTGGGTGGTTTGGCTGTTTCTGTCTAGTAATGTTTAACTTAATCCCTAAGTTACATGTACTCATGATGTAAGTTTAGTGTCAACTCTGGGATATTGACCTATTGGGATTTGTTTTTGAGAGTCAAGTACTATGTGATGCTTTTCAAAAGGAAGGTAATTTAATATCTGCAGCATGGGTATGATTTTGTTTTTAGTACAAAAATAGTAGAGAAGGAACTACTGTACACAGGAAGAATGTGAGTTTGCCATCTAGTATGCTTTCAGGCTGAAGTGTTCTATGTTCAGTTTCCAAATAGGACTGAAGATAACAAAATCACAGATTCTAATACTTTAGGGGTGGGGTAGAGACAGGAAATGACTGTTCTAGGACCTGGCTGAGGAAAGCATTCAACAAATCGCTACAGTGTTGCTTACATAGAAATACCCTATACTTACCACCTCAGTTGGCCATATTATATAAGAAATGCCCCGTGAACAGATTGTACATTATAGAATAATGATTTTAAAAAAAGAAAAAGACATTGAGAAACCTAGTAAAATTGTTTGAATAATGATTTAAATTTTAATTTTTGATTATTGGAATTCGTTTGACTTTTCATAGGAAAACAGGGCCACTAAATTTCAGTCGTTTATTTTCAGTTTGTGACTGTGTTTGAGTGTAGTTGTAAACCAACAAACTGAGAAATTATTCTTTAGATACAGTTAATTAAAACTAAAGTTTGTTCAGCAACACAGTTGGAAAGGGCGGAATAGTCAAGCTGAAATATTTTACAAGTGATGCTTTTATTGAGTGGGAGATTGTACCTAGATGACATTTAGGGTGAAAATGATTCTCTCATTCAGCCAACATATGTTAAAAGCCTTTTCTTTGCCATGCATTGTGACATATACTGGGAAAATAAAACCTGAACAATATCCCTGCCCTCAAGGAATGGATAAAGGAGGCAAATTAGAGAAAAATTTACTGTTTCCTGCTTCCAATGTGGGCTATATTTTGTCATTCTCCTGACTTCCAAGCTCGTTACTCTCTAGGCAATAACTTTACATTCTGCACTTCTGTTGTACAGAGAAAATAGAAGCCAGCAGACTGGAATGTCCTTAAGTTTCTGTCCCCAAACCTCTCTACAGACGGTCCCCCATTTACGAACATCCGCCTTATGGACAGCTCGTGGTTAAGAACGGACTGCCATGAAGCTTACTGACACACGCACTACTTCGTGACGCTCATGAAAACATTACCCGATTTGGGAGTGTTAAGTGTTTTGTATGCATAGAAAGGCAAAATCTATACTATATGCTAAAACAAACATTTGACTGACACTAAAGAACTGTATGTAGCTCTTCCGAGTTGCCTACGAATTTGACTTAAAGACAGACTTAGGACTGGATCTCGTTCATACCCCGAGGACTGCCTGTATGTGCTGTCTCTTTACGTACCCAGACTTGTGCATCTAGATCCTGACTCTAGAAATCATACACAATCGATATTTCCTTCTCTTGACTGTTCATCTTCGACATCTTTAACTTGTCTCTTTCTTAGTGATGACTTCCTGTCTTTATTTAAATATATTTCTCTTTCCTTTTACGGCCAAATTTCTCAAAACGTTTGTATTCTTCCTCTGATTCCTTTTATCGTCCATTCACCATGACTCAGGCCGCTCTTGCTCTTTCTGCTTACCCCATGTGACCCGCCAGTGTTACTCTGACTGTGATCACAGTCCTCTTCTAAGCGCTCAACTTTGAATGAAACTCGTGCTGATTCTCTGGCCTCATCATCAGTTCTTGGCAGCGTTGACTGGTGGATTACTTCTTCCTTCTTGAAACACTCTTTTCCTTGAAAAGTCTTTTTATATCCTTTTTAAGCTCATTAAATGCTAGGATTTCTAAGATAATTGGTTGTAAGTCATTTTCTCACAGTCTCATCTGTTCACTCCCATCCATAGCTTTATTTACTGAATACGTTCCAACAACTCACCAAGCACCATATCTCTCTACCTTTGGTCACTAAATTTCTCCTTCAAAGCTTAAATGAAAAAATAGTAATTAGCTAAAATTCAAGTGCTTGTTATGCACCAGGCAGAGAGCCAAGCACTTTACATTTATCTAATTTGGTCCTTAAAAAACTCTTCCCCATTTTTACAGTGAAGCAGAGATTCTCAGTCCTCAGTGAGCATCAGAATCCCCTGGAGGTTTGTTAAAGCACGTTGCCGGGCCCCACCTCTGAAGAGTCTGATTTAGTATGTCTGGGGTAGGGCCTGAGAATTTGCATTTCCATCAAGTTCCCAGATTGAAGGGAAATACCCCAAAAGTATGCCTTTTTCTTTTAAGCTGCTTCTCTACATCTTTTCCATATTTGAAGATTGTTGCATGCCATCAAGTCGATTTTGACTCAGAGCAACCCTATCTGACAGAGTAGAGCTGCCCCCATAGGGTTTACTAGGAAGCATATTGCCAGATCTTTTCTACCGCAGAGCAGCCAGTTGTGTTCAAACCACCAATCTTTCAGTTAACAGCCAAGCACTTTAACCATTGCGGTACCAGGTCTCCTTTTATTTCAAGGTTAGCTCTCAGGAAATAGCTTTTCTCTGAAGTCTTCCCTTAATATTTTCACTTTAATTGGTCTTTTCCACTTAAGAATCAGTACAGAAACAGTAATCTGTTCCGTACATTTAGCACCCGGTCGTTAGAATTAGCAGTAGCAGCTAGATTGTAGGTGCTGGAAACCATACTGTAACACGTGGCTTGCATTATCTGATTAAATTCCTACACCAAGTCTGTGATATAGGTGGATGCAAATGAGGAAACCAGGGTACATGATCACATAGCCAATAATAGATGGTGCTAGGATTGGCACCCAGTTGGCCCTGGCTGCAAAACCCATTCCTAAGCCATGACTAAACGTTACTTATTGACCGATACTTGTGGGTGAGAACCATGTCTTCTGCTTTTGTGCCTTGCAGTGTTGAGCACATAGTAGATACTCATTACTTACAAATATCCTTCCTGTTTAGTCTGCCTAAGAAACAACTCCAAGAAGGGAGTGGTGTTTTGAGTCTGGTTTGTAAACAACAGATTGTTCTTTGTCTCCTTTGCAGATTTGGATGGTGCTCTACTCTCAGGGCCGGATTGTGATCGGAACGTGAATGCAAGCTTATTGGTGGAAGCCAGCTCCGGTCAAGATGGAAGTGATGCTGGTACGTACAGTAGTCTTTCATTTTAGCAAGAGTATATTTAAGACGATTTGAAGATTGAGGAGTGTTTGTGTGCATGCTTTTATGGGCCCACTGCCGCTTCTCTCCTTAGGGAGAGTATTATATGTGAAGACTTCAATCTCTGGTGATTGTGTTTGGATGAGAGACTTTGGAAGCTTGGTAAATACAGATGAATAGGTGTTTCTGGTTCTGTTTGTTGGGAGGAGGAGTCATTTCTTTAGAGAAGTTTTTGAAAAAATCTTATATCATAATTAAAGTTTATGGCTTCTTGCTGGTATGTAGATGGAATGGGAATGGTAATTACTATAGTGGTTGACTAATGTATTTTAATTAATTATGATATAAAATAATATGATTTTAATGGCTACAAGATTATTTTGGAAAAATTAAGCTGAAGCAGTGCATTTCAAGCTTTGGCGGCCGGGAGTGGGGGTAGCTTATGTTGACACAAAAGTCTACCTGGAAAAATGAACCTTAGTCCTAAAAACATAGAATAATGTTTTTGTGGCATTATTGGGAAGTGTTAATTAGTTCTAAGCAGTGGTGTTTATGTCAACTATGCTTTGAGGAAAGCTTGTTGCACATAAAGACAAAGAATCTGTGAGTCTCCTCTGAGTAAAATAGAAAGGGGAAAAAGCTTTCTTTACAGACAAATGCCAAGGTCAAAAGTATAGAAAGAATGATAGAATTGAAAAATCATATGTTTTGCAACCCCCACAGTAAATAATTTGTGACTTTCCATCGTAGATCAGTGCATGTTAAGCCCATTGCTGGAACAGGGGATTCACATGGTCTCACAGATTACTGCACTTACAAAGGGTAGAGGTGTCTTTACAATGAAGAGATCTGATGAGCATCACTGTAGCCAAGTGATTCAACTTAATATCACTAATAATACAACAGACAGAAATTATGTGCCTCGTGTATGATGCACTGAGGCATACAACATCACCTGTGGAGTATTTGTGCCAGAAATGTTTAACCTGAATCTAGTCAGGAAGAAAAAATCAGATCTAGGTATCCAGCTATGTGACAGTTGGTCCAGACTGAAAAGTCAAGGTCATGAAAGACAAGAAGCAGTGGAACTGCTAGATTAAAGAAAACCAAGGAGACACAACTAAATACAGTATGTCAATCTTGATTAGATCCTGGGTCTAAAAAATGACTAGAGGGACATTTTGGGAACAGTTGGAAATCTGGATATGGAGTACGTGTTAATTATTGAATCAGTTTCTTGGATGTGGTGCTGTGGTTATGTGGGGAGTGTTCTTGAAGATGCATGCTGAATTATTTATGGATGAAGTGATAAGTCTGCAAGTTGTTTTCAAATAGTACAAAAAAGTATGTATATGTGTACACACAGAGAAAGCGCATGTGGCAAAACTGACGTTTGTTGAAGATAGAAATGGATATATTGATTCTTCCAGCTTCTCTGTAGCTTTGGTGTTTTTGATACTTGGGGCACTCCTTACAGAAAGCCGTCGGGACTTCTGAGTACAGTGTGCACTGACCAAAATTAAGCCATAGTTCTGAAGAAGCTGTTAAGGTGGTTTATGCCGACTATTGAGAAGATTTTTACCCCTAAAACAAAACAAAAAAATCGGTTGAAACCAGTGGTTTACAGTTCTTAACGGGTTGAATTTTGAAGACTTTTTGATTGTACAGAAAATCATTAATAGTGCCGGAGTATTTTATTATCCTTGCTTTCTTGGTCTGGAAATCTGGTCCAATAATGGGTTCAATGGGCTATGAGGAGTCATATGTAAACTATGGAATTCGTGCACGTATACATTGTCGGGGGAGATGGTCCATACCGTTATTCTTATTCTTAAAAAATAAACCCCTGATTTTGAGTCTTTCCTTTGAAAGATAACAGTTGTGATCTACTAGTATTTTTGCAACTGAGACCAGCCTTTGTCTTACGATTACTTGGATTTCAAAAACATTGCCTTTTTCTTAGTTGCTGTTATGGAATAATGTACCCAGAAGGATATTATTGGAGAGTAAGCACAATTTTGAAGTAGGTCCTTAATAGCCCTCAAGCATGTTGAATCACAAAGGCAGTACCTTTATTCTAACTACTTACTCTTTTAGTTCTTACAGGTAACCTCTGCTCAGATAGTTCCCAATTTGTCGTGTTTGAGTTACGACAAACTACACTTACGACCATCTGGTTTTTCTTTTTTTAAATATTTTATCATTAGTAGTAATATGTGCTACATACAGTGTTGCAGCTCATAATTTGGTGGTGATGTTATTCTCACATGTTCAGTGTTACGACTTACTGTTCAAAACACTAGTGCATAGCAGGCAATGAAAATGTAAACAAAAAAAAAAGTATTTTACTTGTCAGAACCAATTTACAACGGAGTCATTGGAACGGAACCCTGTCTTAAGTTGGGGTCTCCCTGTAGTTATAAGGATTAGGAGAGATGCAAGACTTCTGGGATGAGGCTTTCTTAGTTTGAGTTATCGTTCCAGATGTCAGGCGTTTTCTTGGCTGTTAACATGGATGCTTTTTATTATTCTTTTACTATAGCTTGTTGAGAGAATGATGGAATATGAACTATTAAAAAATCTCTAATTCTGTCTCCTTATTTTTACACATGGTGAATAATCTGTAGTTGCAGATATTAACAGGAGCCATGGTGGCACAGTGGTTAAGCGCTCGGCTACTAACCAAAAGGTTGGTGGTTCAAACCCACCAGCTGCTTCCGCAGGAGAAAGATGTGGCAGTCGGCTTCTGTAAAGATTTACAGCCTCGGAAACACTATGGGGCAGTTCTACTCTGTCCTATAGGGTTGCTGTGATTCGGAATCAACTCGACTGCAGTGGGCTTTTGGGTTATTTCACTTAGCATGATGCTTTCAAGGTTCATCCATGTTGTGGATGGTACATTTATAAAAAGGAGTTTTTTTGGTTTTAACGTTTTCCGAAATTAGTTTTCCAAGCCTTTTTGAGCAAGTCCAAAATACCATGTACATGTTAGCATTTGCTGAATACATGTATTCAACAAATAACTGAAGGATATATGTTTTAGGCATTAGAAGTACAGTGATAAGACAGGCATAGTCCCTGCTCTGCAGGAGCTTCCTTAGTTTTTCACTGATTTGGGCAAAATTGATAAACTTACCTCCACATACACGACCCCCATCACAGTTGCCATCCCACAAACAAAGAAGTGTTCTCGCTTTAGGATTTTGAAAACTATTCCCCAAACTATAAAACCTTACAGTTAAATTATATAAGTATAGGCTTTCTTTGCATTAAAAAAATGAGTAAAGTTATTCCAAGTACAAAACATTATTATTCCAAGAACATTAATACTCAGTAAGTAATGAAGTACAGTTTTTTAATATTTTAGAGAGCTTTTGCTTTATTGGGTATTGGTATTTTCACCAAAGTGGAAATCTTAAGTTTAGTCTTTTAATTTTTAAGAGAGTCAGTGTATCTGGTAAACAGATATGGGGAAATGAATTCTTAGGAAGTTCATTTTGGCAAACATACTTTTCTAAAACCACAGTGTCCGTGGGAGGACAATTAATAAAGAGCTGTAGGAATGAGCTCTTCATCCATCCTGGAGAGGAGTGTTCCAGGCAGAGGAAAGCGGAAGTGCAGAGGCCTGCTTACCATGGTGAGGATAGCACAGAGGACAGTCTGATTGGAATGGAGTGTGACCAAGGGGTAGTTGGGAGCAAAGAATAGATTGTGTAGGGCTTTATGAGATAATGAAGGTCTTTGATTTATACCTTGACTGAAATGGGGAGTGCTTGCAGACTTTTGAGCAGAATAGTGACAGCCTCTGACTGCTGTGTTGAGAATAGACTCTAGGAAGGCAATAGTGGGAGCTGGGAGACGAGTTCCTGGCTATTGAAAATCGTCCAGAGACAAGAGTTAGTGGTCGATTGGACCAGGGTGGTAGTGGCCATGGAGGATTCTGGATATATTCATATTGCCAAATGATTCCTGGACCCCCAAGGTATTCCAAACTCAAGGTGTAACTAAATTCAGAGGAGATAATTCCTGTCCTAGCTAGTCTGAAGAGGACATTCACTATTCTATTTTGATTCTACTGTCTGGCCTTTTATTTAAAGATGGGGTTAGAAAGAAAAGACGTTTGGGTGAACCCCAAGAGGGCATTTAGTTACCTGCTCCAAAAGTATCTGAAACAGCAAACAAGGGTCTAGTAATAGAAGAGCTTTAAGTTTGTAATTCCCCATATTTATATTCGTTATCTTTAATTTTTATATGCTGATTAGTTTTGAAACAAGCCTGTGTGGTTGTCTTGGGTGCGATAAGGAGATTGTGCCATTCTGTAGCTGGGCTTCAGGGTGATAAATGTCTCAGTTGATAAGAACAGCTAGGGATAGCAGCTGTTAAGACAGTTCTGGTTTTAATGTGTTTGAAAACCCAATATTGAAAAGGGCAGTTTCGTGTGACCTTCACCTACAATTAAGGTGTAGTGTTCAGTTTTGTTTTTTTACCGAAATTTTTCTTACGGATGAGTTCTATTTTAAACATTTAAATAGTTTTGCATAATGTCCCTACCAATCAGGATATTATAATTGCGATAAGAAAGTATGTTATTTTCATTGACTAATCACCATCATTTCCTCAAAAATCACTTTTCACTTGTATTAGGTACTTCGCATGATTTCAAGTATGGGTTGTTGCCCGGCCCTTCAAGTGATTTCAAGTATGGATTGATACCGGGTACTTCAAATGATTTTAAATATGGATTGATACCAGGTGCTTCCAACGATTTCAAATATGGATTATTACCGGAATCTTGGCCAAAACAAGAAACCTGGGAAAATGGCAAGTACTAGTCAACTAAACATTTCCAGAATTCTGAAATAATTTTTAAAGACTGAAATGCTTCCATGGTTTTGATTTAAAATCAGGTAGTAGTACCCTTTATCTATTGCTGTTCTCAGACAGCGATAGAAGAAGCTAAAGACACACTTTAGGTAACAGATACTCTGTTCAGCGTCTAATAAGTGCTTCTTGTTGTTTCCCCCTCAAAGGTGAATCATCTCTAACCATGAACAAGTTAAAATGCCCTCATTGTAGCTATGTAGCCAAATACAGACGAACACTAAAAAGGCACTTGCTCATTCACACAGGAGTGAGGTCATTTAGCTGTGATATTTGTGGAAAGCTGTTTACTCGAAGAGAACATGTGAAAAGACATTCCCTGGTAAGTAACTTGAAGTATAAGTGATTCTTGAGAGAAACTATATTTGTGTCAGTGAAGTTTAAAGCCATTTTAACCTTGTTACTTGCATATCTAGGGAAGATTGGTTATTAGAGAAATTGCTTTAAAGAATGTGATATATGAACTGATACTGAACTCATTATTAAATGAATAGTTTGAGTGGTTCAAATGCATTATATTGTCTATACATCCTTATATTGGATTTTTCCCCCCTTCAATTAGGTGCATAAAAAGGATAAAAAGTACAAATGTATGGTGTGTAAGAAGATCTTCATGTTAGCAGCCAGTGTTGGAATAAGACATGGATCTCGACGCTATGGTGTTTGTGTAGACTGTGCAGATAAATCACAGCCAGGAGGGCAAGAAGGTGTAGATCAGGGACAGGATACAGATTTCCCTCGGGATGAAGAATATGAAGAGAATGAAGTAGGAGAAGCTGATGAAGAGCTGGTTGATGAGGGAGAAGATCAGAATGATCCATCTCGATGGGACGAACCAGGAGATGTTTGTATGTCTCTAGATGATTGACTGACCTACTGTACTCCTCAAGGATGCTGCATTCGGACATAACATGAATCGACAATTGGAATTGTTGAACTTGAAGGCTTGCGTAATATGGTACATAATATGGTAGTTATGTTGCTGTGAAAACTGTAGGGTCAAAGCCTTATAGCAAAAAAATTTTTTTATATTTGCACAGGACTGTACAGCAAACAACCTTGTGGTTGAATTACATGGAGTCCCCACATATTCAGTCAGTTATCAAAGTAAAAAATATTTTTTATTTATAGGATATACAGTAACTCTTTGGGTCCTATGAAAATATAGTCCCTGTCCTTGTAAAGCTTCCATTCATGTGCCCCTTCAACATGAATGAAGAAAATCGATTTCTGGAAGTACAGTGATAGCTGACCCAGTCACTCTGTCCATCAAACCACTCAGGCTAGTTTGTACTGGTAAGAGTTTTGTTTCTATTTTTATTTTATTATTTTTTTTTTTTAATACAGATTTTCAGTGAGGGGCTTTTTCAACCCCATTGGTTCTACTTTCTTGTATTTTCCGTATTAATTTGCTTCATAACTTGAAACCAAGTCTCTTCTAGTCGTAGGTAATATTTCTCAGTTTTGTGCTACTAGGCATGTTTATAAGAACTGGAGAGGTATTTATTGGAATGAACTGACTTCCTCCATTCCCCCTTTCCTTTTTGACATGAATTTGACTACTTCACAAATGTAGAATGATGTTGCCAAGTTACCGTCGTGAAGTTGCAAGTACCACTAAAATGATGATGATTTGGAAGTAACTTTCTCCTGCTGCTTTAATCCGATAAATGGTTACTATATGACGTGTTCTGACATGGCATTCTCGGTTTTGGGTATCTGTTACTTTGGCACTATTCTTGTTAGCCTTTTTTTTTTTTTTTTTTTTTGCCAGTGTACTATACCTCAGTCCTATTTGAAAGACATAAATCTTAATTGAAAAAAAAGTCATAGAAACAGTAAGCAAAATGATATGTTTTATAATTTATCCTGTCCAGTTTGGTTAGCTTGTTATGCAATATAAGTGAAATATCAGGTTTTTACTCCTGTGCCCTTTTTATTATTAAAATTAACACAAAAATTGCATTCTCTTTTGTTTGATACTTACCCAGGTTATTGAGTGTTTTAAAATTGTGATGGATAATTAAGTTAGTTTTTCAATTCCTTAAAGTCACCATACCTTGATATATATTCTTATTAGTAATAACCATGATTCAACAATCTACGGAATCTTACAAATAAAATATTGAGAGGCTTTACAATTTATTGTTTTATTAACTAAATTTCTTCAGGGTACAAAGCATAATATATTAAGTTAAAATTGACAGATTTATTTAGCCTTGTGGCAAATGAATTAGCTAATTAGATCATTGAACTCACAGCAACATTTCACATAGTAATGTTAACATGCACAGCATTTATCAGGAACATATTGTATATTATATAAGATTGAAGGACATCATATTTTCAGCTTTCTTTTAAACCAAAATTGAGTATATTTTCCTCTTTTATATCAGGTAACTAAATTATGCTAGTCATGTGGAAAAAATTGCAAAGTATGCTTTGACAGACAAGATCCTTTTGGTGCTCCATCTGATCAAAGTTGATAAGTTGGTGTATTTTAAGAGACGAGTGTTACCATTGTCTCTTATTTCAGTGGAATAATGGTTTAATGTTAGACATTGGCGTTTCTGCTTGGATAAATCAAAGATAAATTACAGTTACACAGCTAGATGGCTTTTTTGACATCTAGACTTTATTATAGTTTCCACGTAATTGTAAACTGAACAGGTGACTAGTTTTGGTTTGATTTTTGTTCAAAAGTGAAGAAGACATCCTCTTCTCAACGTTCTAGTCAGATGAGTAAAATGGAATCCTGGTGGGGTCCAAAGTAGAAGTTAGTTGGGCAAAGATACTATGAATGAGAAAGTATTTTAAAACGTACGATGTTCTGCTTTGTGAATATGTAAGTATAGTATAAAGATTTCTTTTGTCCCATTTATCCCCCTCCTTTAAAATAAACCATAGTTTACAATTGGTAGATCTGTCTATATATAAATATATATTAAAGAGAAAAGGTATATATCTGAAAATCACCTAAATCTGCTTTATTAGACTACAGTTCACTTATTGCATAGAAACTGGACTTGGCTTTACATTCTTAATGTACTTTTCTTTAAGATATGAACTTATTCTCTTGAAACTGAATTTTCTTTTACTTAAATCATTTATGTATATCTGGTAAATTATGACCAAATTTTTGTTAGATTGCATACAGTAAATTGAAATATACACTTGGTACACTACAGAATTGTTGTGCTTTTTTGCTTTTAGTTGGAAACAAGGTTTGATGTAGATGGGTTGTTACTGTTAATTTAAAATATTCTGTAATTGTCCATTACCTTTTGTATTGTGTTATGACAGATTTGGCTATATTTTTAGTCAACTGAAATATGATACTTTAAAGGTTTGTTTTTAGAAAGGTAATCCAAAGGAAAATATGTTTATACTCTTGACTGTATTAGCCTCAGCCTATATAAAATTTCTTCTTTTAAAGTAAACGTTTTACCAGAAACAAAATTGACAGATTTTTCTACTTGCTGACTGCCTAATTTATTTTGTTTTATGATCTTGGGGGACTGCCTTTTTCCTCTAGATCTTTTTTTAAAAAAAAAAAAAAAAATAGTTTTAGTACTAAGGTATACTACTGGACATTTCTATTTTTTTAAGTATATTCTTTTTTCTGACTTACAATACAATTTCAGGAAGTTGACAGATATTAAGAACTTATGATTGGTCTCAGAGAGGTAACAATGGAATACTCATAATTTTGTCTATGGAGCCCTGACAGAATTATGTGGTACACATTTATTGAATTTTTCTCTCGTAACTTATATTTTAAATGAAATATATTTTAGAGCTTTTAATTTTAATGAAGGGGAAGAGTATAAACTGTTTCTTCATAATCACTCTGTAGTAGCAGTCCCTCTCGTAAATCAAGATCATGTATTGGTTCTTTATGATTCTCAGAGACAGTTACTTCCATATGGTCCCTTCTTTGTCATAGTTATCGGCCTTATTTTTCATATTCTGTAGATGTTTTGCTAAATTTTAGCACCCTAGCAATTTAGAGCTAAAAGAAACTTTAGGAAGGGGAAACTGAACAGTCATGAGTAGCTTTGAAATTTGGGGGTGAAACACTACCTGGTTTAGGTGGAGCCGTCCTGATGAGGAAGAGGGAGAAAGCACTTAGAACACTGTCTGGTACATAGTGCACACTACATCTTAGCGGCTTACTGACAGATGTGAGCCAAGGGGGGAAAATCATAAAAAGGGTAAAAGGAGGGAGAAAACAGGAAATGCAAGGATTAAGGCTGGGAAGTCTGCATTAATACAATGCAGTGTAAAAGAAGGCCTGAAGATGACTGGGATAGCGTAGTATGGGGGGAACGTGTGAGGGAAAATAAGTTTTAAAAATCTATATTTTTAGGATTTTCTCAGCATGGCATGAAAGGTTTAGATATATTTTTCTGAATAATGATTCCAGAAGCTACCATTGTTTTGGTACACACGGAGTGCCTCCATGTGCCATTGGTTGTGCTTTACATTATCCAATCCCTATACGATAGGTGCTATTGTCTCCATTTTATAGATGAGGAAAGGCTCAGAGAGATTCAGAAACTTGCCTGGTTTAACATCATTGCTACCACGTGCTAGAGCTGGGGTTTAATCAGGTCTCATTCTGAAGCCTGTATCTTTCCAGGAGGCGCTATCTCTGCCTCATTAAATAACTTTTGTAGAATTTCAGCTCTTTAAAGACGTTTATCTATGGAGACATGTTTCCCCTATAAAACGCCCATACAGCTATTTTAGGAATTTGGGTGTCTGATCTGCCCTCCTCCGAGTAAGTATCCTTACTACTCTTTCCTCCCGACAAAGCAGTTGTTTTGTCACTTGACTGTAACCAGGTGCCCAGACACAGGGTAGCACGTGCTATTAATTGGCTCTAGCATTTTCATTTTTAAAAGGATGGTTTTTAACTGAACTAGATACGAACCCCAGTTTTATCTGTGCCGTTCAGTCACCCAGATCCTTAAACTTAACTATGGTACTTAAATATGTGCTTAGGACTAGCAGGTATTTTTTCTTGGTGACTTTAGGATTTAAAATGGAAGGTTCTTTTCCTGCTATACCCCTGCTTTCAAGTGAGTTTGAACAATTCTTGGCAGTTCAAGATGTGTTAGGGATAAGCACACTTTAAAAGATGATTTCTAGCCTTGAATTTTATGACATTGGGTACTTAAATTTGGAGTACACTGACTATTGAGAACAAAATTTTAGGTTGAGGAGAGGGATGGTTGAGGCCATTATGAAATGGGAGAGTCATCATTTTAAACCCTGTAAACATAAAAGAACACTTTCTTCTGCCTGCTGTTTGTAAAAGCTCTTTGGGAAGATCTTTTACGAAGACCAATTTTTTTTTTTTTTTTTAAATGTAATTTACCTACCTAGTATAAGTGTCCTCAGACATGTATGTAAACTTCCAAAACTGTTTTATCTGTGTATTTAGAAAATACACAAGAATCTTTATCAAACCTAAAAATATAAACTTGTGAGCACTAAACCGCTTCTGGCTTTGTGAATTTTATTGACTCCGACGTTTAATTCAGACTCCTTTGCATTTAAAGTAAGTGTACTAATTTACAGTAATTGGAAAAGTGGAACACCTTCGTAAATTTTGACTTATGTGTAATTGAGATATCTTTGTACATAAGGTTTGCCAAGTAGTTTGAATTATAGAATATTACAAGGGGTTTTTTTGTCTGTTTGTTTTTATATGGAAGTGCATAAATGACTCAAACGATCTCCTAGTAAGTAAATCCTTGGAGAGCTGTTTTAATAGATAACGGTGGTTTGTAGTGAGTGTATCATTTATCTTTCATCTTGACTCACTCAGGACTGTCTACAGGATTTTGAAAATGTTTAGAGAATATTTCTCTGTAATTTGCCATCGTGCATAATCTCAGGCCAGTGGGCTGAAGAGCAAAGGTGAACTATTGCTTCATCCGATATTTACTGTTTATTAGTAGATTAATGAATTACAAGTTGTCTTAGGGTTCTCTAGAGGAACAAAACCGGTGAAGCATATATATTTAAATATAGAGAGATTTATTTCAAGGAAGAGGCTTAGGCAGTTGTGGAGGCTGGCAAGTCCCATATCTGTGGATGAGGTGTTAGGCTGGAAGCTTTTCTTGACTCACATGGTTGCCGGGGCTGATGAACCCAAAATCAGGAGGTCAGGCAGCAGGCTGCTGGCTCATGTCCCAAGAACTAGAGGTCAGAAGATGACAAGTCGGATGCAGGAACGAGAGAGAGCAAACTTTGCCAGAACATCCATATATATATTGGATACAGACCACTCCCCCAAGGAAACTTCCTTTTCAACTGATTGGCTACTCACATCAGATAATAAAATAGAGGATGATTACATAATATCTGCCAAACCGCTGAGAATCATGGCCTAGTCAAGTTAACACATAACCATCACACAAGTAAATATGTAATAATTCAAATTTTTATACTTAACATTTAATATAGAAAAAAATGTAATACCTAATTTGTTTCCTAGGGTTTTTTTTTTCTAAGTTAATAGAACAAAGGAAATCAGAAAATGACCAGCTATTCAGATCTGACTAAAGAAATGAAAGATTTGATCTAGTTTGGAGAAGGGTGAAGGAACGAGCAGCAGCTGCACAGCATATTTTGAACATGTGAGGAGTTGTCATGTGGCAGAAGAATCACACATTGTATATGGTTTTAAGATGTTAGAATTGGGACCATTTGGCTCAAGATTAAGCAATTTTTAAATAACTGAAGGTGAAATGCGGTTGCTTCAGAAAAGACTGAATCTCTGGCAGGACATGTTCAAGACACAGTGAAAGATTGCCTGACAACGATTTTGGTTAAGGCAATGTTGCCCGAACAGTTCTATTTCAGGTTTGGGTTTTTTTTTTTGAGGGGAGGGGGTTCATAATTACCAATTTTTATTTTGCCGACTAAGAGCATTAATACCATAGATAGTAATAAATATTTCATAAAGGGTAATTTGACCCCCAAAAAGACATAACTGGCATTTAGAAATCAAATTTAGCTTTATGGAAGAACTTGCTAAATGTGTGGGTTTTTTCCCCTCCCTCTCGTTTTTACTACAAATCATTGTCACAGACCAGTGTTTGAGAACTAGTGTAGGAAATGGAGTTATTGGATCTATTGTTAGATAAGAAAATTAGAGGTCCTTCGAATCTCAGTCTATGGCATAACTGTTGTCTGAACTACAGGAAATCTATTGATTAAAATTAATGAAAAACGAGTGTCCTCTGCATGATGCCTTTAAAAGCGACTAATACTACCTTTTCACTGTCAGGCAGAATTTTTTTGGAGACAAGTTTGGCAGTAAGAAAATACGATTGCATGCATAATTAGAAAGGGGTGTTTAGAATCTTGGTGGAAGATAGGCAAAGACAATCTAATTGCTTGGCACGTATCCCAGCAGTTGGTGAGAGAGCAATGCATAAAACGGTTGCAGCAGAATCAGAAGTTTTTAGGTTGGAAGAGACCTTAAGGGAGTATCTAATGAGGAATCGAGACCACGAGAGGTTAATACAGCAACTTTATCAGTCAATTTTAGTACCCAGGGCTCCTGCACTTCCACTCTACTTAATCTTTTTTACCTGTATCAAACTCATTCAAATCATGTTTTTTCTAACAGTCTTGAAAATTGTGTACCATTTGGGAAAACTTTGAAATAAGAGACTCCACAGTGTTCTCATACAGTGCCTGGCCCATAATTGATGCTCAGAAAGTGCTTACTAAATAAATGACTGAAGACATTAGCAATCCTTTTGATAGAACTTTGTCCACTAGTATCTCATGGTATGTAGCTATCAAAACAAACTAGTTTCATTTGGGGGTGATAGTTTTGTGCTGCCAAGTACACTCATAGGTGACCATAGCTCAAGATGTAATAACCAAATATTATATAGAGATCTCAATGCAAATACCTTTTATTTTGTGATCCCCCCCCCTCAAATATACCATCTCCATAACCCAAAATACTTGGAGGATTAAGTATTAGCCGTTTGTGGCAAAATATTTGTTTTAGAATAATGGACTGGCGTAGCCACCACTAGTATGTAAATGTCTTAACATTCAGAGTGTATATAAAGAAGATGTTAAAAACTAGAAAGAATCTGTATTTGAGTTTACTTCTTGATGTAGCGTAAAACAATGCATCAGTAAAGATTTGGGATCTGATATTTTAGTTGCCCGTATGCTTTTTGTATTTGTAAGGAGGCATATTGAGTGTTGGCATTTATAATTTTATCATACGAAAGACAGATGGAACTTATTAGTACCTCAGTCAACCTCCTCCCTATCCCTGAGTCAACCACTTGGATTCTGGTAGCAGCTTGATCCCTAAATTGGGATGTTGGCATTTACCTAGAGACGTGGGTAACTCTCCAAAGCAAGTTTTGTCACACTAATTTTTCAAATAGTTACCACCTAAATCATTAAGTAAGACAGACTAACATTCCAAAGAATGGCAGTGTAGTGAGTACTAGTCCAGGACCATAATCCTCATTTATAGTAAAGAGACTATTTTCATGGGAGTAAACTAAACTAGTTGTATGTATATGCTGTCATAGTTTTTCTTCTTTGGTACTCTTAAATTCCCCTGTTTTTGCCCTGTTCCTGCCTTCTGAGTGTAGCTGGCTGTTTGGCACTGGCAGCCTGTATTTGCTGGCCCTTCTTTGCAGCTACTGGTGACTTTACACTACGCTCCCAATATGAGCTCCCATTGCAGTCTATGGACTCTTGCTCTATGGTCAAACATTTACTCAACACATACATATTGAATACCCATTTGTCAAAAAATGATTAAGCCCTGTGATGGATAATCAGACCACACTGTATATACTGTTCTCAGTTAGTCTGCTACTGCAAGCCATTTGAGATGGGAAATGATCCAAGCTTAGACAAGTAGGGAACTTTATCAAAAAGACCTTTCATTTCAGCAGTTCTAAAGAGCTTGAGCCCATTGCTGCAGCCACTGTATCAGTCCATCTCCTAGAAGGTCTTCATCTTTTTCATTTACCTTCTATCGAGCATGATGTCCTTCTCCAGGGACCGGTCCCTCCTGATAAAATGGCCGAAGTATGTGACACAAAGTATCACCATCCTTTCTTCTAAGGAGCATTCTGGTTGTGCTTCCAAGACAGATTTGTTTGTTATTCTGGCACTTCATGGTATATTCAATATTCTTCGCCAACGCCATAATTCAAAGATGTCAGTTCTTCGGTCTTCCTTATTCACTGTCCGGCTTTCACATGCATATGATGCAATTGAAAATGCTGTGGCTTGGGGCAGGCGCACCTTAGTCCTCAAGGTGACATCTTTGCTTCTCAACACTCTAAAAAGGTCTTCTGCAGCAGATTTGCCCAATGCAATACATCGTTTGACTTCTTGACTACTACTTCCATGGGCGTTGATTGGAATCCAAGTAAAATGAAATCCTTGACAACTTCAATATTTTTTCCATTTATCGTGATGTTGCTTATTGGTCCAGTTGTGAGGATTTTTGTCTCCTTTATGTTGAGGTGTAATCCATACTGAAGGCTGTAGTCTTTCATCTTCAACGGTAAATGCTTCAAGAAGTCCTCTTCGCCTTCAGCAAGCCAGGTTGTGTAATCTGTATATTGCAGGTTGTCAGTGAGTCTTCCTCCAATCTTGATGCCCCATTCGTCTTCCTATAGTCCGGCTTCTCAGATTATTTGCTCAGCATACAGATTGAATAAGTATGGTGATAGGATGCAACACTGACGCACACCTTTCCTGACTTTAAACCACGCAGTACCCCCTTGTTATGTTTGAACGATTGCCTCTTGATCTATGTACGGTTCCTCATGAGCACAATTAAGTGTTCTGGAATTTCCATTCTTCACAGTGTTATCCGTAATTTGTTAATGATCCACACAGTTGAATGCCTCTGTATAGTCAATAGTCAATAAAACACAAGTAAATATCTTTCTAGTATTTTCTGCTTTCAGCCAAGATCCATCTGACTTCAGCAATGATATCCCTCCTTCCATGTCCTCTTCTGAATCCGGCTTGAATTTCTGGCAGTTCCCTGTCTAGGTACTGCCACAACAATTTTTTAATTATCTTCAGCAAAATTTTACTTGCGTGTGATATTAATGATGTTGTTTGATAATTTCCACATTCTGTTGGATCTCCTTTCTTTGGAATGGGTACAAATATGGATCTCTTTCAGTCGGTTGGCTAGGTAGCTGTCTTCCAAATTTCTTGGCATAGATGAGTGAGCGCTTCCAGCGTTGCATTCGTTTGTTGAGACATCTCAACTGGTATTCTTTCAATTGCTGGAGCCTTGTTTTTCACCAGTGCCTTCAGTGCACCTTGAACTTCTTCCTTCAAGACCATCAGTTCTTGATCATATGCTATCTCTGAAATGGTTGAATGTCTGCCATTTTTTGGGGGGG